GATAGGGCTTTCGGTTATGACAGCTAAAGGAAAAAGTACACCGCGCTAGGAGGAGACTCTATGGTGGGGGAACTGAACTACCGGTCAGCTCCAGAATTGAACAGGGGGCTTCCAGTTAGGACCTTTGTGGCTCCCGGTGTTTTCTTTTCTGTGGGAAACTGGTCCAAATGGCTCTTTGAGTGTTTAAGTTTGCCGACCCCTGAACTAGCATGTATTGATGACAGTTGCAGTGTCCCAGGGTCATGTGATCATTTTTTTGCAACCTTCTGATAAGCCGAGTCAATGGGGAAGCCAGATTCACAGATTAACAACCGTGCTACTAACTTAACAACAGACTAATTCATTTACCAATTAGGGCAAGAAAGGTCACAAAATGGGGCAAAACCCATTTCCCAATCTCCTCGCTGAGCAATGGAAATTTTGGCCTCAATCGCGGTTGTAAGTCAAAGACTACCAGTATGTAGTTGTTTTTTTAAAATAGCAATCCTGCTTTTCTTTATACGTGTCCATTGTGGGGAGTTGACTACGTACGTCTCACCAGCCAGAGCCTTGTTCTACTACAGTTTGTTCTACTAGACCCGTGATGACGAACCTATGGCTCATGTGCCAGAAGTGGCACACAGAGCCATCTCTCCGGGCATGGGAGTTGTTGCCCGTTGCTCTTCGTGGCTAGGAAGAAGCCCTGCCAAGGCAGGCCGGAAAGGGACACGGGATGGGCTGGGATCGAGAGACACCGTGGGCGCCCACTCAAGCGCAATGGGGCTGCTCAGAACAACCAGTCCCTTCAGGTGTCCTGCTTGGCTTAGAAGGAACTCAGTGCTGATTCCGACAGAAAAAGACAAATGGCCAGTCCTATCCGCGGCTTTGATCTTTTTCCCCAGGGAGGTGGTGGTGGGGAGATGTTTTAGAGACTAATTCTAGATGTAAGATTATTTCTAGTATCCAACGAGCATCAGATAAGCTGGAGTTATTGTTGAAACAAGCGCGCAGCCAGCATCCCTCCTGCCCCACCAGTTAGCAAAAGGGCCCCCCCAAATTCCTTGGCAGCCTTGGGGTTTTCCTCACTCTGCCCCCCAATAGCTGCTTCCCCCACCTACCGAAGAGAAAAGGCAAGGTAGGAATTGAGCTCCGAGACCTTGGGATTCTGGTACCTTTTTAACAAGCAATGTTCGGGGTTCCGGCGCACCAGCCAGCTGGTCTTCACACATGCAGGAGCGCCGGAAACCAGAAGAGCAGCCACCCAGTGCTCATGCACGCACCAGGAAGGTGAACTTCTCGTTTCCGGTACGTGCATGCACACCGGCCAGCTGGTATGTGAGTATGCCTACACACATGCATGCATGCCAGGAACCAGAAGACCAGGCTGCCGGGGGGCGTGAGCATGTCAGAAACCGGAAGATCATTTTTCCAGTGCATTCATGCGCACTGGGCGGATGCTCTTCCAGTTTCCGGCACGCACGCGCGCACACAAACACACACACAAACACCCGTTTCGGCACTCAGTGTTGAAAACGTTCACCAACACTGTACTGAAGAAATTCTTCATGTTTCCCTAATAATTCAATAAAAGAGAAAATGCCCTAGAAACTTTTCAAAAGACGGGGGGGGGGGGGTGAAGAAATGTTTGTGGGTGGACTGTGATGCTGTCCTAATTGTATAGTTTAAGTGTGTGAATGTCTCTCCTATCGTGTGTTATACATTGATTTTTCCAATTATCTGTCTGCTTCTTGATTCCCACTCTTAAGTTAAATCCCAGCGGAAAACACTAGCAGAAAACTGCCCCCGCGGAGATACTCCAATCACCATTAAGTCCTACTCCTCAGAAACGTTCGGGGAATTTCTACTTCAAACGTTCATTCATCCATCCGGTTTCTTTGTTCACAGTTAGATGGAGAATGTTAAAAGCCAGGCCTTTTTTAAAAGAAAAAAAAACCCTGGTTTTATCCAGAAAACGTCAGAAATGATGATTTGACATATGACTTATTGAGCCAAAGGATTCAAAATGGTCTGTTTGGTTTAACCCTTCTGTTTAATTAATGAAATCTGAGGCTACAGTATCAGCAGCAGATCCCCGTTCAGCCTTTTTATGAAGGTTTCCACTCCAGAAGAAAAGGAGAGATCCAGTGGTGGGTTGCAGGTGGTACACCCCGGTACGGTTCTACTGATGCCTACCGGGAGCACCAGCTACCGTTCTGGTACAGTGTTCTGGAGGGCCCACCCACATGCCCTCCTTACCTGTATTTGAGCTCTTCGGCGCTTACCCGCACGGAGCGTACGGCACCTGCACGACGCTCCGCCGAGCAGCTGAAGTGTCACGGAGGCATCGGTAAGGACACCTGTGCACGGGTGCTGTGCGTGTTCATGTGTTGTACGCCGGGCCCGGTTGCACCGGGATCCGGAACCCACCACTGAAGAGATCCCTAATCCTCCGAATGTCAGCGTTCTAAGTATTACATCCATAGTAAACAGCTCCAAGGCAAGTAGGTTCCTCAAATAATTAGTTTATTGAACATATCATATTGGCATAAGCTGGTGAGAACTGACTCTGAATATTCCCGCGGTTTTCACCTAATTAAAAGTAAAAGTTTCCCCCTTTTCCCATTCAGTCAGTCACATGGTCCAACCAAGGTCCCCTCCAGTTGCCAGGAGATGTCGCTCCTCCTCTCCCCAGCCACCTGTGGGAATGTCCTTGGTTCCCAAGAGAAAATATTTTGTTTTGGCTACGAAATCACTCTATCTCTATTCCCCACTCCTTATCCCTCAGTTCCAGTGTGGCGATCAGCAAACCGGTAGTGAAGGTAAATGCAACCTACCACTGTATCATATTTCCAAGATCCAATCTTTGTCGGTTATAAGAACCAGAGGTTTACTCTTCTAAGCTTTCGGGCTCATGCTGCAAGTCCATTTTTGTGGGACTTTCTCTCTACTGGAATATATGCTTTGCGCTGTTCTATGAGTCATATTTATACGATGCCTTCCTATTGGTTGATTGGTGTGCTGATTGGGTGTTGTTTCTTTGTGCTGCCAAGCCCTCAGTTCCTAAGTATTTGATAAGTTGGTGGTAAATCAGCATTCCTGTTGACTGACAAGTAGCCCATTTCCCAGGCTTCAATCATTTCCCTGGCTATTTTTGTACCTGCATGGCCAACAATCTTAGTAGCTGTAAAATTGAATGTATGTCCAAATAATCATATCTCCTTTTGACAAGAGTTGGTAGATGTATGAATCTTGTTCTCTCTTCTTCTCCCCCGCCCCCTTTGATACTTAACTAAAGGTATTAATCAAAGTTTTGGACAACAACGATAACGGTCCAGAATTTTCCCACCCAAACTACGATGTGATGATTTCTGAGGACATCATGCCTGACACCGAGATCCTTCAAGTAGAAGCCATGGACAGAGATGAGAAGCACAAGCTCAGCTACATCATTCACAGCAGCCTCGATTCCATCAGCATGAGAAAATTCAGGATGGATCCCAACACCGGCGTGCTCTACACCGCTGAGCGCTTAGATCACGAAGCTCAAGATAAGCACATCCTCAACATAATGGTAAGCGGGGAATAGTAATCTGTGTTCTCCCCCAACACAATTGCCAGCTTTAATAGGTGCGTGCTAGAGTCTTCCGATAAGCAAAACGGCTTTAGATTTGGTAAGGAGGCAATAATTAGGTTCCCCCCCCCATCCCTTCCGCCACAATGCAGTTATTCGCCGTGGAGGCTTTGTGAGGTTTAATACGAAAGGAGGGTTTTTATCTTGCAAAATGCTTGTGCCATCTTGAAGCTGAACATGGTGGGAGCATCATCATCATCTCCCAGTGTCGGGGCCCTTTTATCGGAGGTAACTTTTTTAAAAGCATTTTCTTCAGAATCTTAACGTTCTTTTGGGAAGCTGTTAACAAAGCGATTATCACTTTTCTTGCTGTGCTCAGCTCTTAAAGCCAAACGGGCAGCTTTATGGCAGATTTCTGCCAGGTCTTCGAAAGGCAGAAGAGAACCGATTTTGCTGGTGCCTAAATTACATGGTAGAAAGTGAAGAGTGTGCCGAGTGTTAATGGAACAATAACCTTTTTTTTTTCCATCCAAAGATGATTGTTAAGAATTTTCACACTCGCATTGAACTCCATTCTGGGTACAAAAAAGACCTAAGAAATGCTATTAGCGTTATTAGAATTGGATTCACTGTAGTGACTAAAAGGCAATTGCCGAACAATTTCCCATACAGGTAGTCCTCGACTTACAAAAATTTGTTTAGTGACAGTCTGAAGTTACAACAACACTGAAAATAGTGACATAACCAGTGGTAGGATTCAAAAAAGGTTACTACTGGTTCTGTGGCCATGGCTTGGTGGGGGTGGTGTGGCTTGGTGGGCATGGCTTGGTGGGGGTGGCAAAGGATGCTGTAAAATCTCATGTCCCTCCACACTCCGGGGGGAGGATTCTGCAAAATCTCCATTCCCACCTCACTCCAGGGGAAGGATACTGCAAAATCTCCATTCCCTTCCCACTCCAGGGGAAGGATACTGCAAAATATCAATTCCCTCCCCACTCCAGGGGAAGGATACTGCAAAATTTCCATTCCCATCTCACTCCAGGGGAAGGATACTGCAAAATCTCCATTCCCTCCCCACTCCAGGGGAAGGATACTGCAAAATATCAATTCCCTCCCCACTCCAGGGGAAGGATACTGCAAAATTTCCATTCCCTCCCCACTCCAGGGGAAGGATACTGCAAAATTTCAATTCCCTCCCCACTCCAGGGGAAGGATACTGCAAAATTTCCATTCCCATCTCACTCCAGGGGAAGGATACTGCAAAATCTC